CGTGGGACGAGAGTGTGCGGCCGGGCCGGTCTCCACCCCCCAGGACCCTTGTCACCAACGGGGTTAACTTGGCGGGGCGGGGCAGGGCGCGGCCGATTGCTACAGCCTCTTATTTTCTGTCGTTGTCGTCGGTTTTCAAGCCCCACTCCCGGGCCAAGGTTCTGCGTGTCCGCTTGGATCCCGAAGGACATCCTTACTGGTCCCCAACTATTTGCCTTTTTTAGAACTATAGACGTCGTGCACGAGGACTCGGCCTGTCCTGGATATGCACTAGCCCCTCTGAACCTCCGCCGGGGGGCGCTCTCCGGGAGGCAGGTTGGGTACCGAGGAGCCGGTAGGACGGAATCCAAGGGGGTCGGGGGTGTTTGCAATCCCAGCCCACGGTGTTCGCCTCGTCCACGCTGTCTCTCTGTGTCCTTTCTTGTGCCCTCGCCCGCCTCACAGCGGGTGCGACTCTCACTCTCCACTGGCTCTGGCCACCCGCTGTCCCCTCCCAAGACTGGCCTTCCTCAGCCCGTCTGGCTCTGTGGGCCAAAGTTCCAGCTACGGTAGTCGAGGGGCGTGAACTAACGAGGTGGTGCCGGCAGGCAGCACTGTACAGCCAACGGCACCGCATTATTCAGGACAATTTGTTACTGTGAAACCCATGTTTCTGATACTGCCACCAAATCATCCCTCGCCTCTACCAAGTTTCCCCAAATCTCATATACTGACGGTAGTCGGGGAATGACAGCTCTTACTGGGTCGACTCTTGGAGTAATTTTAACAATTTCTTTCAAGATAGATGAACTTCTGGTAAATAAACTCAGCATTTTCTTTACATATTTAGTTATTTTTGCTTTCTAAAGTTGAGATGGCACCTAGGCGCAAAATGAGTTTAAGACTTTGAGTGGCACAAGTTCATTCCGGCTAAAGCTTGTACTTGGGGACGCTCCAAAAGGTTAGCCCGCTACTCTTCAATGTTTCCCAGGTCCTATGAGTGACTTCTACAATTTGAATATTTATTTCACTTTTTTCACAGTAAAATTTCTAAAGCTTTTCTGATAGCCATCAAATCACCAAAGCTCAAAAATATTTGTTGACCACGAACGTGCTTTTCCAGTCATAGAGATATATCTAAGCACTATTGAAATCCATTCTTCAGCTGGAGCAAATCCGTTTGCACAGAGTATTCCAGGGTTGAAAGGAACATCAGGTTTATCTGGTTCAAACACCTGATCCGTACTTGAGCCCCCTTTGTGACATTTCAAATAAGTGGTCATCCATCCCCACTGAACACTTCTTGAGCAAGCCTGTTATATTTGCCAACAGCTCTCTTAGAAAAGCTCTCCTTGTATTGAACTGAGATCAACCTCCCAGAAACTTTCACCCGCTGGCGATGGCTCTCCCCTCTGTGCCCGCAAAGCCGAATCGAATTCCTCTTCCTTAAGCACTTCATCTGTTCAGAGACAGCTTCGTGCCCCCTTGAATCTTCCCTTCTCTGGGTCACACTTAGCTCCTTCCCTCAGTGTGACAATTCCCGGACTCCTCACCAGCCTTCTAGCTTTCCTCTGGAGGTGACCCAGTTTCTCAATGCCACCCACCCCATAACAGCCAAGGTTTGTTTCCAGAAAAGGACTCGGCTTCCACACCGTGGGTTCTGACCGGCACTCGACAGGACTACCAAGTTGTTTTCAACAATTTGCTTCTATTGATGCGACTTCAGAAGACAAGCATTGGAGGGCGGCCACAGCATATCCCATGGTCAGTTTTCTACGTTATTCCGTGTATCGGTTTGCTAGGACTGCCATAATAAAATACCACCCATTGGGTGGCTTAAGCAACAGTGATTTACTTTCTCACAGTTCTGGAGGCTGGAAGTCCAAGATCAAGGTGTTGTCAGGTGTGGTTTCTTCTGAGGCCTCTCTCTTGGCTCGTAGATGGCTGCCTTCTTGCTGTGTCCTCACGTGGTCATCTCTCTGTGTGCGCATGTGTCTAGTGTCTCTCTCTATGTGTTCTAATCTCTTTTTACTGGCCATATTAGGGACCACTCTAAGGACCCCTTTAAATAGTACTGCCTCCTTAAAGACATTATTTCCAAATACGGTCTCATTCGAAGGTACTAGGGGTTAGGGCATTAACATATAAATTTTGAGGGGCCACAGTTCAGCCCGTAACATCTCGCAACAAAAATAAAGCAAGTGTTACACTCATTTTACAGGTGAGGATGATGAGGGCGAAGGAGTCAATCCATTTACACCCAGCCAGTGAAGGCCCCAGACAAATCGAAATCAGGCCGACCCCAAACTAATTGTCTCCACCATTCCACGGCTATGGCTGTCAATACTTGCCACCACAGGGTCTACAAAACAAGTTCTTCTGAATACATTTTAATATAGATTTGTTTCCTCAAGAAGAAGAAGAGAATATGAATAGATGGAATGCAGGAGAAAGCATGACCTCCTACTAAGTGGAAAAAAATACTTATTTAATCGTTTTTCCTCCCTTGCGTAGGAGTCCAAAACCGATATCGACGGGGAGACATGCTAAAGCAAAGCCTGGACGTGTCCCTCCCAAACACGCGAGAGCTGGAGGGGCTTCTGCAGGGGGCCTCCTTCCTCCTTGGACCCTACCCCTTCTTTCCACCCTCCAGGCATGAAGTTCCTCACCGTTTTCACTCATTTTTTCCTTCCCAGCCCCCTTTCTCTTCCCGCTTGGCCCCTTGCCCCAGGATTATTTTTCAAAACTTACCGAAGCTCTTTCTTTGTGGCGCAGACTGTGATTTCAGTTTAAGGGGGCAATAATATTTCATTCTAACTATATTCATTGAACGCCTACTATGAACTGAGTGCTGGGGATGCAATAGTGAATAAAGACACAGAAATCCCTGCCCTAGAAAAACTTCTAATCCAATTAAGAAAGACAGATGGTAAACGGAAGGAGGAAAATGTTGGCGACGTTAGACGGTGCTCCGTGAGAGGCAGAATAATAAATCACGGAAATGGGTAGAGGGGCTGTGTAGGTTGAAATATAGGCCAAGCAGTTGTGACAAAATGATCCAAATATACAACAACTTAAATAGCTTAGTTCTCTCTCACGTAAATGTCTTAACCTTGCGAGGTAGGTGAGGCCTCTCTTCTCCAGAGTCACTTGGGGATGCAGATTCCTTCTGCCTCTCACTCCATCACCCACTAAGATGCTGTCTTCATGTGTGTGCTTGTAGCTGGGTCGCTGGCATGTCTGGAATCCAGCCTGAGGGAAAATGGTAAAGAAAGGAAATTTAAGGTAAGTGATTGCCTTTTAGGTAAGTGAGGCAGAAGTTATACAAATTTGTTCTCTCACATTCCATTCATGAGAACCTAGCCATATGGTCATGGCTAGCTGCAAAGGAGGCTGGGAAACAGTCATTACCGGGCAACCAGATGACCAGAAAGAAGAAGGCGGAGGGGTTGAGGAGCACTACTGGTCTACCGCACGTTCTGTGCAAGGCTAGACGTGATGATTTTTGATAAAGTGGCCAATTAGGGCATGTCTATAGTGACCCCAGAGTGTGAGTGCCCAATAAGGGAAGAGATTGGGGGTGTTGAAGAAGGGGACCTGTCTAGCCTCTAGCCAGGGCCTCAAAACTGACTCAAGACAGCAGGATAAAAACATTCCCAGAGGGAAGGAGGGTAAGGCATATGCGGACCAAACCTAAAAGTGGCCCAGGTCTAGTCTGCCCACATTCCATTGGCCAGAGTGAGGTCATATGGCCCACTGGTCACATGGTCTCACATGGCTTCGAAGGCAACTGGGAAATGTAGAGCCAGAGGA